CCGGTCATGTCCCGTTTTAAACCGGTACGGGACCGGTACGGGACAAAATAATCGGATCCCAAACGGAACAGGACAACACCGGTACAGTTTCGGGATATACCGGAATGGGACAACGGGACCGGGATTCTTGCCCACCCATAGGAAATTGTTGGAAACATGTGTCCCACGGGAAAATTGATATAAAACAATAACATTATACTCTGTATAAGATCGTGAATAAATCCTTCCATCATGTTGATCTTTTAGAATATCGAATCTTAACAACTATTCATTTTTCCTCAATTCGGCAATTTGGTATATATTCAAAGGGTACCCATATAGAATATAGTACAATATTTGAAAAAAGAGTCAACCTCTAGTTGTGCTCAATATAAGTTGCATTGATCTTTATATGATATTTTGTGATGGTAATTCACCATCATCAACATCACTTTTAAATATATGGTCTATCAATGTACCTAGTGTGTAAGGGTGAGTTGAATATAAGCATGGGCGTAGCTAGGGGAGGGCCAGCCCTGGTCCGGCCCAAATTTTAAAAATGTCTATATTTTTAGTGTAAACAATTTCGTGTAACTTTCTTTTCAAAAATATTCTTTGTACCGTCCCAGTCTGACCCAGTGCCTTGGCTCCGGCCCTGAATATAAGAAATCTTTTTTCTAAAATCTAAACTACTATGACTTAAAAAACTAAATGAAGATCAAACATATTACACTGGTGAATATTAAACTAATATTGTACCCAGATTTCGAACTTCTAAATAGGTGACTCTGGGAGCCGCGGTCTCTCCCTAGCAGGTCTAGGGTTTGGTTTTTCCTTAGCAGATCTAAGGTTTGGTTCTTCCGACCAGTGAGTCCCCTTCACCTATGTCCGATGTTGGGATTGAATTTGAAGCAGATTGACAAGAATCATTGCCCAAGCTTGACGACATCGAAGCCAGAGTTCGGCTATCAATTTTTCGTGAGCAGGGTAGCAAGAGCATGACATCGATGAAGATGACCGCTAGCGGTGGATTTGCTACGAGCGGGGTACAAGGAGAGTTGCATGAATTTCGAGCAGGTCAGATGATGATTGACAATGGAGGATCAATTAGAGTGGTACCAAGGATACGGCCTCCTCCTGAACCACCACCATGAGTTGTGCGAGATGGTAGAGGCCGTGAAAGTTTTCCAATAAGTTTTCATTATTTTGTCATTTGGTTTCTTGTTATCGTTTATGTTGTTAGGTTTGTCAATTTGTTTGGGAATTTAGCCTTGTTTGATGTCATTGAGCATGTTTGGATCTATGGGAATATGGATGGCTATGTCAAGCCCGTTACATGGTTAGCGATTCGTGTTGCTCTTTCAGGGGTGACCGTTTTTAAAGCTCATCATAGGGTTTATAGTCGTAGACTCGTAGTTATTGGAGTCTAGTTGGTGTTAGATTTGTTTTTCCTTTGATTGATGTAATGATCCTGAAACTTATGATATGAATAGAGGCTAGTTTTCGTTCAAAAAAAATAGGTAACTCCGGCATAAATAAATGGCTAAAATTAATGAAAACAATATCTCAACATTCATGACACCCGTTCTGAAAACCCTAACGACAAAATCGGGATTTATTACAAGCGGGGGAGCTCGGTCACGATTTCCTATTTTGGCATTGAGCAAGGTTACAGTGAAGTTACCAGTGTTTTACAATCGGAAGTTAACGTGACGGACATCCACATTGAGCTGAAGAGATCCAGAATTATGTTGAGTAACGTCGTCAAATCGTCACTCATATACCCAGCAAAGACAAAAACATTTAAACTTCAAACTAAATATCAAATCTCTGAATTGGTATACCGTGGGATCAGTGTAGGATGCGGACCGTACTCCCATAGCTAAAAAATTCGCGGATGAACAGTAACTATTTTTTTTCTTCAATTTTTTTTAGTGATGTAAATCATTTGTAATGAAATGTAACCCGCGTTTCCATAAATATAAATTTAGTTAGCGAAAAATGTAACTTGTACCCTGAAAGTAACTCATGTTACTCTCTCCAATGGTTCCTCAAATTTTGGTGTATGAAATGTAAATTGCGTATTACAAAATGTAACTTTAGTCAAACCGAAATGTAAATCGTGTGTTACAAAATGTAACTTTAGCCAAACCCTCTGAAATGTAAATCGCGTGTTACAAAATGTAACTTTAGCTAAACTGAGATGCAACTCCAGTGTATTTGAAATGTAACTCTCATCAAAGCAAATACATAGCCGAGTAATTAAAGCATAAAGCACCGAAATGTAATCAAAGCAAATCGATCATCACATCCATGAAGATCATATATGCCCTAAATATGCATAATAAGTGAACCAATTGTTGGGCATATGGTGTTTCTGCAGAAAGCTCTCAGAGCTTCAATGTCACTAGCTCCCATTCTCCCAAGATGTACTGCTTGTAGGTGGTGGCAGCTAGAGCTCCGACAAACGGCCCGACCTAGAAGATACAGTATCTTATGGCAGATAGCATCTCTTCTATGTGGTTTTTGCTCTCTCGCTCATCATCAAAGACAGCCTCGATATTCTCAATTTTGGCCCCAAACAGTTTTGTAGGGTTCATGGGAAAGGAAATTCTTAAGGATTTGATCGATCTTGTATGCCGCTCTAAGCTAAGTGTCCGGTGCTGTTTGCCGTCGAGGCTCCCATGAAAGTTGTCGAGAACAAGAAGAAATCGTAGAGCACAGAGGAAGGAGAAGCATGTCTCTTCAGTGGATGAAACGGAAATAGGGGAAAATAGGAATGGTGCTTTTTGCGATGCTGATTTTAATGATAAAACGATACCGTATTGGGATCCGTACACCGTGCGCACGGTGCACCAAATCTCTAGCCAAATTTAAGGTTGAGGTCGTTAAGACATGGGAAATTACAATTAAGATTAACTTTGACGTAACAGTGAATGCCTTGAACAATAAACTCAACTTACTTTCAAAGGGTTGTAGTTAACAGTGTGAAGCTGTGGTACAAAAAATTGTTTCAGCTTTTTTCTTTGCTTATAAAAAATTAAATTATTTTTTTGTTATCACTATTACTACTTCTTCGTATATAAATACAAACATGAATTACAATAGGCACTATTTTTTTTGGTACATCGGAATAGATTACACTAGGCACTATAAGACCAAAAAAATAGGTTAGGAAGTTTTGCCAAAAAAAATACACCTCGGAAAAAAACATGAACAGAACAAGGCTAAATGTCAAAATAGGTACTCATTCGAATTTCTAAGGTTCAATTCATACCATTAACCATAATGAAGGAAAGTATTGGATGGACACGTTTTTATATACAACCACTATTGTGAACACTTTATTGTAACAAAGTATCGAGTTCGTGTAAAAGAATGCAAAATTTTAAAAAAATGTCAGTACACACAAATAAAATGGATGATGGAAAAAAGGGAATAGTAATTAAAATACTCCAAACTTTGAAAGGATGTGATATTTTTTTTTTTTGATCATCTGAAAGGATGTGATATAAATACCCCAATTTTTCATATGTAATTTAAATACCCCATTTTATATTAAAAGTTATTTAAATACCCCACTTTATATTAACATAAAGTTCTTTCAAAAATATAAATTTATGGTTTTAATTGCATAATTGAAAATAGAAAATTGAAAATGTTACAATTATATAGAGTGGGGGTAATACCATTTATTTTACAATGAAAGTTTAGAATGTTAATTGTATTTTTATGAATGCTAAAATATTTTAAATTATGAAATTAACACAAAAAATTAACATTTTTGAAAGAAATAATACATGACCATGGTGCAAAAATAATTTTTTTATAAAGTTTGGTGTATTTAAATTACAAATGCAAGTTTTAGGTGCTTACTCCACATCCATTCAATGTGGGGGTATTTTAATCATTTTTCCCAAAAAAAAATGAGTATGCCAAAAATTGTCCATAACAAAATTTAATTAGAATCATCATCATAACCAAACAATACAATGGCTCATGCAGCAAGTTTAAATACTTTTTATTGATTGAAGGGTATATTTGACTTGGACGAATTGGATAAAAATCATAGAATAGAAAAGTTATGATTCTAATTATGAACTCGTTTGGTAACGCGGAATTCACCTAAATCGGCTGATTCTGATGAAATTTGTGAAATTCTGGCTGAAGTGACTAATTTCAGCGATTCGATTAAAGTATGAAAATTTATATTTAACATATATATTATTAATAAAATAAATGAATAAAAAAGTATATGAAACAACAACTGAAATAGTTCTCTAAAGTAACTTTAGTCAATTCAATTAGAAAATTAACTTTAGTCTCACTTATTTTGATTATTACACAATTCGAAATCAAAAGTTACATATTGATATTTTTGTAGTTGGAATGACCTAAACAACTCGAGCAGCTACATTAACCTAATTGTCCTTTCAGCCTAAAGTCTGATACCATATTACATTATAATATGACTATTACATTAGCACTTTATATATAATCTGATTTAATTTTTTGCTTAACATCTAAAAAATATAATCTCTTCATCCCATCGAAAGTTCTACTTCTTACTTCTTATTTGGGTGTCATATACTCATATTTAAAGGTTATTATTCCAAGTTAGGAAACAATTTACTCTATTTAATTATAATTTTACTCAATTTGACTTTCCTACTCATTACATATCAAACCTCACATTGTCCCCTCCCCCAACGTATCTACATTTAATTACTATCACTTTATATGTTTATTACATTTTCTAAATTTTCGCTATCCTCTTTTTTTTTAACCCAAATTACTTTATATAACCACTTACCTAAAAATCATGCATTTACCCATGAGAACCCTCCAACAACACAGAGTGAATATTTCGTTATAATACTGGGTCCTAATTATGATGTATTTAATTTATATCAGCCATTAATACCAAACCTCAGTCAAACTTTCATAAGCATATCAAGTAAAACAAGAACATTCAAGAAAAAAGATTGAATTTATCAATGTAACGCAAGTATGTGCCGAAATCAAGGCACAATTGGTATAACTATTTAACTATTTATACAACATTTTTGCACACGAATGACACGATTAGTAGTCTAGTACTCGGTTTGGATGGGAATGAACCTACATAGATAATTTGATTGCCATATTCAGTGACAGTTGATATTATGAATCTAAATAAGTGGGGTGGATCATCTAATTGACAACTTCCTCGTTACTCCAAAAATCAGAAAATTCATGAAATGACTTTATCTCATATGTTAATAATCTCCACCTGAACTACTCCACAAAATCTGATGTAGTATTATTTGTCCAAGTCTCCAAGATACACAGTATGTTTGTCATGCCTCCTACACTATATGTTAGGATAATACTACGACAAAGAAAATGGAAGCGACATCAGCGGGTTCCATGCGCTGCACTAGGGAGAGATTGAACTCCAGCAACTGCAGCAAGTGGGTTCACCTGGTATGAAAAGGCAAGTTCCCAAAGATCACCCAAAGCCTTCTTCACAGATGAAGCTTGTTTTATAAGAATGCTGTTATTACATTGCAAAACACACAGTAGTTTCAGAACTAGTCTACAATCATATAACGCATGCTATCATCAACCAATAAGATATGTAATACGTTGAAACACACAAGATGGAAAAATTCTTAATGAAAAAGTAAACATCAAAGTTAAAATGCATCACCTTAACGGGGAAAACGATTTAAATATCCCAAACTTTGAATTTAACATTATTTATTTAACAAATGAAATTTTAGAATGCACTGCATTCTAACAATGTTTAGAGTATTTTAAATGAAATTATGTTGCGAAAATAACTCTTTATACAAAGTTCGAGGTATATATATTAAATTTGCAAGTTTGAGGTACTTATTTCACACCAAATTAAAGTTTGGGGTACTTAAAATATCCCCCCCCCCCACCCCCACCCCACCCCACAGTAATTGATTGGTGAATTTGACAAGAGGCTACTAATCCCTTGTTTCACATCAACTGGCAGTTAAGGATCACACGCGGATTAAGAAACTCACCGGACACCTTAGAGTCTTGAAAAAGAAAATTGCCTTGTATTATTTAGTTATGGGCCAGCCCGTAAAGAAAATATTATAAATAGGAGCTGGGAATAGAATAAAGGTAGGTTGGAATTAGGCTGGGAGAGTGAGGCCCCTCGAAGAGTGTCTCAAATCTGTCGTCTCTTTCTATTTTCTTTGTGCGCTGGTTTACGGCTTCCTCCAGTGTCGTTAACTTGAGGAATTTCTGAGCTATTCTCTGAATTCTATACTTAATATACCCAAGTTTTCCTATTGTGTATCTGGATTTTGGTATTCTCGATCATTGGTATCAGAGCACTCTCCTGGAGTCAGGATTGGTCGTCCCAGAACATCACCAAGCTTGAATGATGGAGGAATTTTATATACCACTGAGAATGGAGAAGAGTATGGACAACATTGAGCGCCATGTGAAGGAGATGCACGACAGTTTGCTTCAGTTTCGTCGGCGACCTAGAGGTCAATCACGGACAGACAGGGGCCGCCGACCGTTGGAAAGGAAGGGCTCAGCATCATCATTCGTCACTTTTCCTAGTTTGCAGTCGCGAACCGCGTCTCCCAATTCGCCAACGCTAGCAGCTGTTTCCAGTTGGCTATCGCAAACAGCTTCTCAACGTTCGTCGACGCTAGCAGCTCCTCACAGTACGTCGCTAGCCGCGACTCACAGTGCACCGTCATCAGCAGCTTCTTCCTGTTTGCCAGATTTTCCGCGAATAGTGTCTCCCAGTTTGCCCTTTGCTAGCCATTCTTCATCGACCATCATCGTGAGCGATTTCTACCTGGTCACCGGTGTCCAGTTCGCCTTCTCACTCCGGGTCGCTAATAGCTTATCACCCTGCGCGAGTTTCAGAGCCGACAATAAACACTGCATTGAAGCATGCTGAACCATCAATCACTGAATTGAATCTGAACGATGATCTTACTCGTCCTACGGAATCTCCACCAGATATTCAGAATGACCCGAACAAGCCTGAGGTGGAAGACAATGGAATGCGTCCAGGTAAAGTAGATCCAGCCCAAGTGGAGCCTCCCGTTTTGGCAAAGCAATTGATGATAGATAATCCACAGAATAGTGCATTTGAAGGATCAGTTTTCGTTTACTCAAATGTCAAGCCTGGGAGGGAAGTAAACGGGAAGGTGGCTACTGTTGACAGTCTTTGTGCCAGTGGAAATTTTGCAATGGGTGTGAAAGTGAATTGTCCTCTAGGACATATGTCAGGATTTGAAATAGTAAAGCCTACGAAGAAGTTTGAGGTGGGGTCTGAATTAGTCTCAAGTGTGCTGAGTTGCAAGTCCAAACGGAGTACAATTACCAATAAGAAAACTCTTGTTGAATTTAAACATGGAATCCTCAGCTCATACATTGATGTTACTAAGGAACGTACCTGGGAGTCCTCCAGGCAGCTGTGATTCGAAGGGTTCAACCAGAGCTGGTTGGCTGGGAAATACCCTTGCAATTCACTTCTAAGAACTCTCTGACTAAACCTTATGTTGCACACACCATTCTGGCAGTTAATTGTGGTGAATCTGCTATCATCTTTGGAAACAGCGCACTGATTAGTGATGTTGACAGAGCAATTACGAAGGATGGAAACTTCCAGTAGCTTGCTTAAAGTGGAGCAGTCAAACAATGTTCTAGTGCACTAGAGGGAAGTAAGGGTAGCAGGAGGAACTATTCCAGAGGCGCAGCTACTGGTTGCTTAAAGTGGAGCAGTCAAACAATGTTCTAGTCTTACACGAGAACTTCAATTAGTTATTCCCACTTTTCCAGATGGTGAAGAAGATGTGAACAGCTCTGAAGTGGGCACTACACTTTCTTCAAAACCCCAACAATATGATTACCAACCAACATCACATGCTGCAGATACGGCTAGCCTTAACAGTGCTCAAGCCAAAGCTAAGTTAAAAGTGCACAATCAACAATCAATTTCTGGGATGCACTCTTTTACTGAGTGTCATGCAATTATGACCCCCAAGGTTGAAGATATGGCCAATTTCCAGCCGTTTCTGAAAAGATTACTGCAACTTATGGGTATGTACCATATCAAAAGTCACTTTCCACATCTCAATCTGTTGCCATAAGCAAGATGAATGGGCAAGGGAGTGCTATGATTGGTTTCGCAAAGGCTCTAGAAGAATGGGAGCTCCTAAAGGTGAACCAATCAAACTGTTAAAGTGGTTTGTGGATCTGAAGGCTGAACTGAACCCAGGAAATGGGTTTTCTAGCAAGTTATATACACATGAGAACTATGGCCAGCAATGTTCAAACCAACAGTTTCAGAGATGGAAGTATGCTAACTTGAAGTGGTTTAAAGGTGGCAAAAAGGGGTATGGGCTCTGCAAGTTCTGGAAGATGTATCTGAAGGGTGCTTTATCATTGAATACATTGAAGAGGTGCTTGATACGCATGCCTATGAGGCACGGCAAAAGGAACATGCACTGAATGGCCAACAACATTTCTACTTTACGACACTCAGTAATAGAGAGGTAATTGATACATGTGCTAAAGGGAACTTGGGACACTTTATAAATTACAGCTATGATCTTAACTGCAGTCTGCAGTACAGAAAAGTGGATGGTAAATGAAGAAGTTTGCATGGGTTGTTTGCAGTAAGGGACATCAAGAAGGGTGAAGAGTTAGCATCAAACTATGATAGGAACCGGGCCTAATTGGTAGGAACCGGGCCTATTTGTCTAATAATAATAATGTGTACTTGATTAGTATAAATAGAATAAGCTGGGGCAGGTAGAGGAGGCTTTTGGACTTAGGTCTTGGGACTGGGAAGATTGAGAATTATTTCTCTCTCTTTTGGGGCTTCGGCTCATCTGGGGGCTTCGGCCTTGTTACTGTCTTTCCCTCTGTAATCGATCATTTTCTTCAATAAGATTTCAGTTGTTCCCTATTAATTTCCTGTTAATTGTTCTGGATAATTGGAGGTCTCTAACAAACTATGAGGAACCTCGTGAAAATAAGGGACATTTGTCGCTATTGAGTGCTAGGAGGATACTGAAAAGAATGAAGCTTCACTAGACATCTCTTCTGTGGCAGAAACATCTATGATTTGGAAGGATCAAGTACTGAAGCTCCTGGTTCAGAAAGCAGTGAGGTACTGGGAAGCAAGAGGCGCAAAGATGAAGCTGGGGGTCAAAGTGGTTTCCTATCACCCACCTTGAGGACAAGGTGGTTGTCTAAGGGGGGAGATATGATAGGATCATGGGCTAAAGAGAATAATTATAATAAGAATAATAAACTAATGTTACATAGTGTGTTATCATGTTAAAAGGGGGTCCGGACCTGGTATTATTAAGTTATGAACCGTCCTGTAAGAAAATATTATAAATAGGAGCAGGGAATAGTATAATGGTAGGCTGGAATTCAGTTGAATATAGGCTGGGAGAGTGAAGCCACTCGAAGAATCTCAAACCTGTCATCTCTTTCTTTTTTTTGTACGCTGGTTTACGGCTTCCTCCAGTGTCGTTTACTTGACGATTTTCTGAGCTATTCTCTGAATTCTATACTTAATATACCTAAATTCTCCTATTGTGTATCTGGATTTTGGTGTTCTCTATCAAGAGTATACCTGAACAGGCCTTAATTAATACGACAGATCCTTGGAAATATTATTTTTACCCATATGGACAGGTATCATTCTAAATCTTAAAATTTAGGTCTCCAATAGTTTCATCAAAGGTCTCAAGACTCAAGCTATATTCAATTGGCACCATTTAGAGATAAATGAACTCAAAAACAAATCACCCATTTTGTAGTCTAGTCTCAGGCTACCTTTATTTTATGTTAACCTTTTTCTTTCTATCTTATCTTTTACCCACCTAAATATTTCCTTCAGCCCAGTCCAATCACTTTTCAGCTCAATCCAACATAAATTCCTAAATCAGCCCCTTAGTAGCAAAATTGAGGGGACAAAAATAGAGTAACCAATCTTTGGAAAAACAAGCATTGGCAGTTGGATATGTAGTAAAATTTGAGCATGCCTTACCTCTTAAAATTTGACTTCCTCCTCATGAGATGAAATAAGATAAGAGCTAGACAGCATAGGAAAATATTTCCATTTGATATGATGAATCGAGTACTCCTAAACTTCAAACTTATGGTGCGGAACCACCAAAAGGATCCTCTCTTTTTGTACATTTCAATAAGCGCCTGTTTTGAATTATTCTCCAGATTGTTTGCAGAACCAGTTTTTTCATCCTTTATGGAAGAAGATTGAGGCACATGTTCATCTATTTGCAATAGTGATGCATTGGACTCTGATGAACTGCCGAGTTCAGAAGTGTTCATGGAGTATAATTGTCTCAACAGAGTCTGGAAAAAAACCATACAGGAATAGTCAGTCAACTATGAATACACTTTCTTAAAAATGCTACACTATAAAATGAAATAAAAGATCCTCAAGAAAATGGTGATTAGAAAATGGTGTGTCCAACATCTAAATGCTCAAGAGTTTTGTTAAATTCTAGGGGATATGTACAGAGCAAGAATATAGGGGTAAATTTTAAGGCTGACATACAACAAAGCATTATTTCACACAAGTAACTAAATTTTGAAGGATTAAAAACAATGGATAACAATGATATATTGCATTTAGATGTTGGACATTATGCCAACATTGTTAAAGAACTTCATGCTCCATATATGATAGGAAATACAAATGGAATGTTATTAAGTGCAATAAGAATTCAAAGGAGCTACAACAACAAAGCATGTGCCAGATTAAATGTAGTTATATCCCATCCATTAGAAATTAGTATAGACATTGGAAACAAATCTCAAACAACAATGTTTTCAGACCTAGTATGGACATCAAGAGATCTTCATTCAAGCGGGAAAGCACACTAGGTAGTGAGGAAAAAGATGTTTTGGAAAACTACGTCCAAAATTCCCATAATTCCCAGGCTTGGTAAATTTTCTTTCACAATATCACGAAAAAGTTTGTTAAGTAGTATCATTGGAAATGCCAACTAAAATCCTAAGGAAATGTCAAAAGAGAATATGAGGGAGAAATATTGACCTGACGCTTTTCCTCGGGTAAACCAGCTTTCTCAACCCATGCGATTGCAAGATCAACATTCTTTATAGTTCTTCCAAGAAATGTTATCACATAGAGCTCAACAACTTTCAGATATTCATCAACTCCCAACACATGCTGCTTACTGAAGCTCTCTCCATCAGCAACGTCACCTTCAACACTTTCAGAAGCATAATAATTTGCCTCCATGTATTTCCACTTGCTAAGAAATTCATCAAGAACTTCTTGAAAATCAGAATACATGCCTCCAGGCATTTGGAAACATGCCCTGTCCAAGAAGGTTTAACGTCATCTTCTATAAAACACATTGAAGTTTTAAAGACTTCAATGAAAATGTGTATACCCAATGTGTATACTAAGGTATGTGGGTGAAATAGGTCTTAGTTTCAACTAAATTTGTTCCGTAAATAGGCAAAGAATGGAGTTAATGTTTTAAGGAAATTTCGTATTTCTACTTTCTGCAAGCCATTTTCATAGGCCAAATGATTCGATACTAAATTAAAAATATAGTAATTAGCAAGAGGCCAAGAACATATAAATGAGGTCATTGATGAGATGAAAGTGTGATATAATAAAGGTACCCGGTAAAAAAGACTTGAAAATGGATGGCAGTGACTGAACCAAACAACAGCTTAAGTTCCTTCAGTACTTCTGATGCCCTGCAAACAAACCAAAAATCAAATTCATATTGGCCTACACAAAGGGCTGAGAGGTTGCACTTTTATATTTACAAAATAAATAACTACTCATAGATAAAGATCCAGTATGCAAAATTCGAGATACTACCAACATTTCTAGTCTATTAAATGGAAAAAAATGATCTACTATATAATTTTAAATTTTGAATTGGAGGTACCTTCCAAGCTGATTCAAGGACTGAACAAAGACCATTCCAGCTGACTGCAACATATCATCCAACTCATCACTACTCTTGTGAGAACTAATACCTTCTAACAAACGCTTCAATACAGAATGGGATAAAGATGCAGCATCATGGTACATACAGCACACAAGGTAGCTGCAACACTCAATTTAAAGACGAAAAATGTGAAGTCATTGAATATCGGAGATAGATAAGGAGGTACGAAAGGGGCAAAAGATTTGACCTTTCGGCGAGTTCAATATCTGCCCAACATGGATGAATTGCCGCGTTGAATGCGGATTCTACTTCTTCCATTTCGTAGTAGGAACAAGTTTATCAAGCCACCTGATTAGAGATGAATGGAGGACTTGATTTGATGTGACTGAACCAAGGGGTGGATCCAGTTTTGGCATCCAGGGGGCAAAATTTAATTAAATAAGGTATATTGCAACAAAAAAAGAATCACTGTTTTAGCAAAACAACATGAACGGTCAAAATAGATACAAAAAGTCATGCTTAGTGAAATATGGTTTGTCATATGAAATACGTGCATGATCTTGTCTTGACTCTAGGCGGAGCCAAGGGAGATAAGAGTGGTCAGAGAACCCCTTGAAACAACAAAAGAACATATATTGCAACAACAAAAATCAGAAAAAAAATATTACCGAAATAAGAGTTTTAGTCAAAGTCAACTATAAAAAAGTACACAATTTTACAATTGTTCTTTACATATTTTCATCGACGGATATCGTTAGAGAATGACATCACTGTCAACGATATTTGGGAAGAATCAAACTCTTCAACGATATTTGGGAAGAATCAAACTCTTCAACGATATTTGGGAAGAATCAAACCCTTCAACTAATACTAATACTAACTAACTAAATAACGAGAGGAATAGTCACAATTCACAATCAAACTCATACCAACATAAATGATGCTCACAAATGACGAATTGGAGCTTACAAATCACATTCATAATAAATGCTAAAAGAGTTAAAACAATACTAATCTATTGAATCCTAAGTTCTGGAATTCTGGGTATAGACTGTAATTAAAGGAGCTAAACTGAATAATATAAAAATACAATAAAATTAAACAATTAAGAAATTTACCTGCTATTCGGGAAAGGCTGTGGAGTGTCGAGTAGGCGAGTAGCGACTAGAGAAAGAGAATAGGAGTTAGAGGTGCTCACTTCTAGCCTCCGTGCCCCAACGTTCTGACGGCCGACCAGTCGCGGGAGTAGCGATTGGCCGATTTAATTTCCGATTAGCGATTGCGCGACGGAGTTTGGCCGGCTGCGTCCTGCTTTGGACAATTGGAGTAGCACGTGCGTGTGAATGATTGGTTATTTGGGATTTTGGGCCATAGCTAGTTTGATAAGACGAAAATCTATTGTTTGGGCTGGTTGGACAAAATTGTTTATCAGCTTATCATACTAGTCACCCAACTTTTCACTAAAGACGTGATTTTTGTTTTCCACACTGAATTATGTAATAAGCAGAAAAAGTGAGTTTGAAGTTACTTTTCTGTCTGTATTGGCTGAAGTTACAGTAGATGACCATTTTAGCTATTTTTACATAAAAAAATCTTTATTTTATTAGTAAAATATATTTTAAAAATATTTTTTTCTTAAATCAGCAGAATCAGCCATGCAACCACTTCAGTCATAACTTCATAAATTTCAGCAGAATAAGTCAAATCAGTCGATTTTCGTGCTACCAAACGGGCTCTAATACAGACCATGGCTACTAATCTGCAGCATGTTCTTAAGGCTTTATTTGTAAACACTACTAATAAGTGCTTTTGAACTTTTTAAAGTTTTGGAAATAGTGTTTAATAGTAAAAGTTGGTAGTTTTGAAGAAAAAATGATTTTGAAATGTAAAAGTTAATAGTGTTTGATAAAATAAGTGTTTTTGTGTAATAGAAAAAGTGAAAATGAAATTTATGATTAACCTCTTTTGATTTGATCATAATTACTAGTACAACTTTGTAATTTTAGATTCTAGTTATATACGCCTTGAACTTTGATTCTATTTGTTTTCTCCCCCTTCCTTAAAAAATCATACTAAGAAAATAAATGACACAATAACAAACATCGTTAAATAGACACTGTTTTGACCAAAATACCCTTATTAGGGATTATTTGTTCAATACACTCATTACTTTTTCTAATACTACGTATATATTTGTATATATTTGTCGCTTCAACTCTTCGCAACTCACTTTGTTTAAGAGTAGGATGTAATCCCCACAACAGAACAATGTTTTGAAAACCAATTTCCCTGAATTGAATTTTTGGAGTTGCACTAGAAGCCAAACAGTCTATTTTCCAGTTCTCAGATCAATGATGTCTCCACTGACCAAACTAAGATAAAGAATATTGATGTAGTTTTGAAGTTTATTTTCATCAGCTAGACTAAGTGGGGTTGAATGCATGCCAAAATCAACTCCTGGAAGATTGCACGCCTCAACAAATATGCACCATGTCAACTAAGGTTCTTCAATTTTCTTTTAATGCATGAATGAGTCTGCGAAGTTGGAGAAAAAAAATGAGAAAAGCATATAAACTAAGCGTGCAATAGTGATGTGTGGGAAAGGAAACCCTCAATTCATTGGTCGAATACTATTTGGAATAAACCTAGGAAGCTCTTGTTTTACACTCCGTAGTTTATTTTAATAGAAGACATTTTGGGAAATTCTTCTAAAAATTAACCATCAAATTAACTTAAGGTTAACAGAATGGGGATATTCCATCTACAATAAAAGCTAAGGGGGTTAATAATCCAGTTCTAAAAATAGAAGATTGATTTTATAACTATGACCAAACCTTAAGGGGCTCATCATTATTTTCCCAAAGTAAAAAGCAGATTCTAGCTTTTAGTTTTTAAGTATTAATTCAAGTAAAATTTGTCACTTGAAAACACTCTTTTAGATTTTTTAAGTCAAAGCTGGGAAGCGTTATTTTTTTAATGTTTGCAAACAACACCTTAGGTTCGGATTGCACACAAGCACATAGATGATTGAAAATGCATTATGCACCAATTTTATGCTCAATGATTACACCTGTAAATTTCATAATTTCAGAAGCTTAAGAGAAAAAAATGATAAAAAAGTTTAATCAAAGAAACTGAAACAAATTTACATATTCTTGAGAACACTTAGAAAATTTAAAAGATAAAAAAAGGTAATAAAGTATAAAAATAAAAACTACAAAAAGTGAAAACTTTATAAATTGAAAAACAATTATAAAAGATATGTAAAATAAGATACAAATGTTTTTGAGCTATTTAAGAATATGAACAGTAATTATAAATCTATAGTGATTTTCTAAATGTATATATATATACACAGTAAAAAACATCAAAAAAATCAAATAAATATAAAAAAAGTTGAAAAAATAAAATTCAATTAAATATATAAAATTTAAAAACATTTTTTAGTAAGAAATATGTTTAAATTGATAACACATCATTCAGATAGTAGGTAAACTGACAAAAAGATTCCTGACAATCGCCGACCCTCAAACCGGACTCGGAGTTTATCATCACCTCGACAGAAGCAATATAACTCGATGATCCATTAATGGGCGCAACTGAGCCAAAAACCTTTACCACAATCCTTCCATCACCCACATCCAAAACCACAGTGTTACAGCAGAACAAAATAAAGAAATTATGATCAAAGAAATTAAAAAGCAAAAAACAAACAATAAAACAGAGCTTTTGCTCCTTCTTCCAGAGCATCACTTCCAAACACGTTCCGGAAACTCCTATTTCTTTCTGATACTCCGGCGGCGGTTCAGTAGGCGGACGAGCCGACAGTACTATAGCTTCTTCCTCACTCTGCCTCTTATTCATCGTGTTCTCTGTCAAACCTCCACATTCGCCACCAATCACATATGACCTTGAATTCAGATCTGTTCCACCTTTTAACCCCAAGCTTCACCCATGACCTTTACTCGATGATGGCATCCTTTCACTATTGTTGTCTATGTTCCTTGTTCGCACCCAAAAACTCGTCGCAGGAGAAAACCCCGATTCGAAAAACCATCCAATCTATTAGATCGACGGAAGAACTAAAACCCTAACTAGAGGGACAATGGCCGTTGTTACCTTAATCGTGAAGTTGAACGAAGGGAAGAAAACGAGCAGAGACCGGCAAACATCAGCTATCGCGATCGGAAAGCATCTGCCCAAGCTGATTTAAAAATGAAAAAAAAAGCTGAAATGCGAAGAGTTGTAAAAGAATTGCTTTAGAAAAATTCAATTGGTGGGCTATAAAATCCGAAGTACTACATGATATAAAATTTTAAAACATTCAAAAAAGCGAAATTTAATATTAAAGTAAACTAAAAAATGTGTAAATTAAATAAAGTTGAAAAAAAAATGTCCAAGTATGAAAATAAAAAAAAAATAAAATCATTAAAATTGAACAAATATATAAATTTTTAACTTGGATTTTTAATTTGTGTTTCATTTTGTCTATAACTTTGATTTTTTTTATTCTTTCTTAATTCGTATTTCTTGTGGTTGTTGACATCCAAAAATTCAAATTTATCTTTTAGGTGTTTGCAATAAATATAATTATGAGTTTATTCACCAAAGATAAAGCTTAGATAGATGTAAATCTAAATAAATATTAAAAATCAACAATAAAAAACAATAAGAAACAAGATACAACAAAATGCAACAAAGAACAACAAGATACAATAAAATCCAAGTTTAACATCACATTTGTATGTATGTTTTTTATTACAAAGAAGCAAAATTTACATAACCTCAAATTAAATGAATAGCAAAAATATACAAGAAACAAATAAGCATAAAATAAGCAACAAAATGATACACAATACAACAAAAAGAAACATGATACGACAAAAAGCCAACAGAGGGCAACAAAAAAATAAAAGTGTCACATATGCAGTGAATACATAATTCAATCTATATTTCGACATTCAGAACCAGAATTATAGTTATAATATAATAATATTAAATCGTATACAATTATATTTCTTTTTAGCATATACATATACATGAGGGCTAGCCAATCGGTAGATTTTGTTGTGCATTGTGGTCAGAATATGAATTTATAAGAGAAGAAACATGTCTCTGATAGGAAAAACATGAGTGAATAGTAGGCACAAATATTTCTCAAGGTTTCCACCTCCCCATGAATTCTAAGTTTAGTAGAACAATTATACCATATTTCACTTTGTGCTTCTTCACAAATTTAAAGTTTGGAGCGCTTTCTTTAACTTTGTAATGGAATCATCTTGAAGAGTTTTCAAGTCTAATTGCATTTGTCTTGAGAATTTAATGTTTCATTAAACCTTGTGTAAGTAAACATTCAACTCAAGTCCAATGTTAGTCACATAAAAGAAAATACAAACTAAAAACCAAATTTAAGTGCATTCACGGAAGAATGAAAATACATGAAACTTTTACAAATTAGTCACTATGAAGTGGCATTAATCCATTGGGGAAAACACAGAATATGGTACTTTGGCAACTCCCGCAGATATAGCCGAAGAAGGAATTGGAAGAAGTGGAAGGCCTCTTCATCTTATAGATTGACGCTTTCATTTATGAAATATTTCTTTCGCATTCAAGTAATTCTTTGTTTTAAGTAATGAATTCACTTCCTTTGTGTGATGTTGCAATATGTTGTCTGCTTGTGTTTATATGTACAATGTGTGGTAAATTGTGGAAAAGTGGGAATGGGAGTTTCAGGATTTGAGCAAAAGATGGAAACTGTAAATGGCCGATCGTTGAAAAAGTAACATTCTATTACTTTCCATTAATTGCATCCTGGTCATTTTAATTTGTTCGTCCCTCGTGAACCACCCCGAACCATCTTGTGCTCATAAATATTAGTATTAGTGTGTACCTTAGAATGAGAAGAGGGAAATAAATTATAGATCGCAAGGAAAATTAAACTAGGAAACCTTGACTTGACCGGCATATTAATACTTTGTATCAATTTGTTGGCATGAAAAGATGGTTTGTAAGAGTTCTTAATAACATAATTGCTCACTTGCACTTCCTTTTTGTATGGAGTAATCAATTAATTTTTAGAATAGACAAAGTTAGAACATATGAAATAGTTGTTACTATCGGTACACTTTGACCAAACAATGATATAAAGAAACTCTACAACTCATATCATTATCAACCTATCAAATAATGCAAGCATCTGGGAAAGTTCATGGGTTCACAAAAACTACAAATTATGTGCAACAAATGTGCAAACACATACTATCCTAAACAACCATGTCGCATCATTAGCACTTTAACAGATTGTGCAATAAACATTTAAAATTTTTTTTAAAAAAAAAACTATATAGCAGAAACACAATTGTTGACATAATATTACTCTATCTATGTAAA